ATAGTTGCAAAATATTACATATAAAATTATATTTACTTCTTTCAAAAAAAAAACAAAAAAAAGCATCACTTCTCATCTCTTTTTTGCTTTCAAAGAAACCATTTGCGTTCTCTCGCTCAAATCCTCTAACCTTACGACTTTAAAAGATTGCTGCGGGCATCTTTCATTCAATAAACATACTGTACCGACTAGTTTACTTTTCTTATTTTAACTAGAAGTTAGACAAAGTGCATGTCTGGACGACTTGCACGGTTTCTGCGCATTTTTCAACAACTTAGCAGAAATTAGAGGAAAAAAAGCTCTAAGCCAGAATATGCGCGAAAAAAGAAGAAAAAAAWATATATAAAAAATATACAGTTAATACTTATTTCATAATTTAATTCAACTAAAAGTTGGCTTCTGGTTTCTTTTGTACTTCTAGCTTCGTTGCAATAAAAAGCAATTGCCATTATAAAAGCGATTAATTGCAGTGACTAATTTTTCGAGTTTAGCTAAATAAAAGCGTATACTTTGCAGCCCTGGGTATTTCGCTGCTTTAATGCTTTTAATGCATTAACATTTTGTTTTAATAAGATTTCTTCTGGGCAGCAAACACTTTTTCTCTCTACTCGTTCATTGTTTCTCATGTCTCTATGCTTTTATGTCTCTCTTCGCCACATTTCTTCTTCTGTGACTTTATTCTTTGATCTTAATACACTTGTGTGTATTTGTGCATTGTTTCATGTCCATTGAAGTCCCTAAGCAAATTCCTCTGCGACTATCAGCCACATTCACAGAAAAAATAAGCTGACAATGAAGTGACTGACAGCGAACAACAGATTGCTCTCAGTAGTGATGGAAAATGCGTTACTAGAGTATATGATTATAGATTGTTGTTTGGAATCGGTTTATATAGATGAGCATCAAATGAGTTAAGAACACTTTAAGTATATTTTTTTAGTAAAAATATTTAAGTCTGTGTTATTTGTTTTACTGTATGAGGTATCGCATTGAGCTCCTTTAAATTTTATTTGAAAAACCGAACCGAAAAATAAAAGGGTTAAGATCATTTCATACACTTTGATGCTATATGAAAAGCACTTGTGAAGGGTATATGTTTTGTAAATTCGTAGTATTTCCTCTTTGTACACCATCTAACCTTTTGAAAATTACTTTAAAATGATTATAATTAATTTATCGATAATTATCGTTTATCAATTTAATTGATTATCGATAAATTTCGATAAAAGATATGGATGGTTTTGATTTGTCTTATAAACATATAACTTTAAAATAATGATAATTTATTTATCGATAATTATCGCTTATCGGTCTCATTAATTATCGTTATAATTCGGCAAAATGTGTTATATGTCTTCCAGTATTAACTAAGTGTTGAAAACTGGTAATTATCATTTATCGATTATATTACTTATCGATAAAAATTATTTAAAGTTATTCGATGAAAAAATGTTGATGAAAAGTTTGGCTGCTAGTAGACAACCACACCTTTCAAAGCATTTCAAAAATATGCGGTTATGTTAGGTGAAGTAGGCAGCTTTTGGCTTTTGAAGAGCTTTTATAATATTAACACAAGTTACGCTTAAAATGTTTAATCTCAATTTCTAAAACCTTTGGGATTCAGGACATTACATTTACCTACTTCGTATTGTATATGGTATAAATTTTGATAAAGTCTTACTAGACCAATTTTTCATAATTAAAATACGAGCGCACGTTTATACCATAAACTAGTCAAAATCTGATGAGCCACCACAATGCTGACAATCGACCTCTAAAAGGTAGCAAACCTGCATAAGCCGAAGCATTGCAATACACTACTTCTTTCTTCAATCAAGCAGGCTATCGAATAATCAGGTCAAATTTTCAGAGTTAAAACACAAAGCAAGGAAACACAAAAAATTTGAATGTCTTCGAACGCCAACGCCAAGTGAAGTGTGGCACAACATCTTACACCATATTTCACACTCCCACTGCACTGAAGTGCCAATAAAGTCAGTGGCCAGAACAGCATTGCCACTAACATTGTCATGTTTATTAACTATTATATAATATGTTATTGACAAGCTGACAAGCACAATGCGGTAGGCACGCACACYACCCAACGCCARCAGGCATAACAACGATGTGGCAACCTGCAATTTGCTTCAGCCTTGCTGTCACTATTTATGATATACAATTATCGTTGTTGTTGTTGCAGCACTTTGGTATGCCTGGCAATCACTCAGTCATGCAACAAAATGTCGATTGCAYGTCAAGCGCATAGCAATGTCGGTCGAAGAAAAGACGAAACAACAACAAGCCGCAACAACCAAAATGTAATCGTGAGTGACAGCAAAGGTGAGCAGCCACTAGAGTTGCAGCTGAGATGTATTGGGTGAGCGGCGAAAGTTTTCAAGCAATAAATTGGCAATAAAGTGTAACCAAGTTAAGTGCCACAGAACTTAACTGAGCTGGTCAGCAGCTGGCTAGGTCGCCTAAAAATGCTGCTTGACTCCTATGACATGCCGCCTTGTACTTGCCGCACTCAAGCCAACTGAATTGGAAAGGAAAGTGATTGAGCTGCCATAAGGTGGAGCGCATAACTGGACGACAATGGCTGCAAAGCGGTCATAACAGTAACAGCACATTGTTGGTAGCACAGCTACAATGCAAGCAATCTTACACTCGTGCGCTGCCACACACATAAAAGCAATAGCAGCTATTGTTGTTATTGGTTTCAAAAGCCATTTAACAACAGCCGCCATATAAAGTATATTAAACTGACAACCGCAGTGAATTATAACGGTAAACGACAATAGCAACAATAGCAGTTARGAGCTACATAGCAATGACAACAAAAATGGCGCTGCAATGCATGCACAACAACCACACACATGTGAATTTTGTGCTCATTTTAAATGGTCAGAAAGTTGCTCAGTGCGTATGAGTAACCACTGCGTTGCTAAGTGCACTTAACAACCTAGTACACACCTCTAAACATATAGACGCGCAYACACATTGTGCTTCGAGCGAAATATAGACTYGACAAAACTTTCCYACTAAATTGGTTTTAATATTTCCAACGAACTYTSTACTTGCCACAAAACGCCCCACCGCTGTGACGGTATAATTCGTCAATTTCCTGCGCTCTGATTGCGTCACAGCGTGGCATGCACGCCGTTCAGCTCGCTTCAAGTGGGCGAGTCCACTTATTCTATTTACCGCTTTGTCTTTGCAACCTCCCACAGTAAATTTTCCCGTAAATTTTTAATGAATCGCAGCGAGGATGATTCGTGCCATTGGCTCTAACTGACAAACAAYGGCAGGAGTTCTGTCAAACTCATAGCATTTTGTTGTTTTGCGTACCTTTTTTAATATTTTGTATTTTTTTGTTTTCTAAATTAGCKTTTCGTTGCAACTCGCTGTCCACTTTAATGACGCTGGTGAATGCCGACATTCTAGTTGCAGTCGTGCAATCGCGCATAAAAATCATATTGAAACGCTCTAAGTGAGTTCAGTGCGTTCGAGTTTTTCAAAGGTGTTGCGTGATTTTTGTAAAATGATGCAAGGTCTCCGATTAAGTATTTTTCAACTATTACCGCTAATACTTTACTATGGCTTCTGTGACGTACTTAAARCTTACTTTCATAAATTGCTTTGAGCAAAATAATAATTAAAAACAAACTAGTATTGCCAAGAGTTTCAAGTGTAAATTTAGTTTAAACAACATCGATGGAAACGCGGCGCATAAATCTTGAAATTTCTTTATAAGAAAATTCTTTGTTAAAATGTTACATAAAAAGTATATTATGCTTCCTAAATTTCTAAAAGGATTTTTTGATTTTGAACTAAATTTTCTGGTAATAAGAAGATTTACTAAATAAAGATTTACATTTATAAGTGTGAAGATAATATAGTTAAATTTGATTTTCATAAAACTAACAGAAAATTTCGTAATATTATTAATGTATAATAATTTTTTCAAAAATCTAACATTTGGAAAATCGGCAATCAATTAGTTAATGTTTTTTTTTAATATTAACTATTATTTCAACGAAGTAGATCAAATTTTATTTGTTTTTTAATTTCTTCATTCGAAATTACTGCTTTTCGAAATACTTTTTTTGTATCTTCTGAATTTTTTTTATTTTTATTTTATTGATTATTTTCTAAATATTAGCATTTAGTTATTATTTCAATGAAATAATTCAAGCTTTATTTTTCTTTGAAATTTTA